TTAAGTGAGCGTTTGATCCACAAACGGGAGTAAAGTAATTAAGTTTTTCCCTTTACGAAAAATCGGAAAGAAAAAGAGATTGTCAACCAAGCGACGTAATTGGGGAATGGCTGATATAAAATTGAGTCGTCAGATCCTTCGCGACTTTAAACAGTCAATGCTCTTGGCCTGGCCTTCCACTCACATTGCTGGAGACAGAATGCTTGAACCCTAGGACCTCCCACTCAGACACACTGCAGTGATTTCACTGGATGCTCTGAACCACTTTTGAAGGTCCGATTAGCGGACAATGTTCCCTTCTCCTCAGCACGTGACCTTGGCAGTGCCATTCTGATTGAACCCTCACTGTGCTTGAGCGTCGTCGAGATGCGAGGGGGTGCGCACCCACTGGTTGGCCCTCCTGGGCCGCCCGCGGCCCCGCCCCCTGGCGCCGTCTGCCTGGCGCTGCGCCTGGCGCGACAGGTAGCGGCGGGTGGCGTCGTCGGGCGCCGCCGCCAGGGGCGTCTCGCGCGCGTCGTTAAGCGCCGCCAGGGAGGCGCCGGCCTCCAGCAGCGCCCGCGCGGCCCCGCGCTTCGCGCCCCGCGCCGCCAGGTGCAGCGGCGAGCAGCCCTCCCAGTCGCTCGCCTCCACGCGCGCGCCGCGCGCAGCCAGAGCGCGCACGCAGTCGTCACGGCCCCCGGCGGCGGCCCAGTGCAGCGCCGTCCACCCGCGCAGCCAGTCCTCCGCGCCCACGGCCGCCCCCGCCTACACACACACACACTCGGACACTCGACCCGCGCCGCCCCCGCGCGCACGCAGCCGTCACGGCCCCCGGCGGCGGCCCAGAGCAGCGCCGTCCACCCGCGCAGCCAGTCCTCCGCGCCCACGTCCGCCCCCGCCTACACACACACTCGGACATTTCACCCGCCCTGCCCCGCAACCACGTACCGTTTTTTCATATTGGTTTCCCTTCTTTGTCTTATTCTCTAATTTAATCGTAGTGGCACTTCAAGATCTCTTGCTGGAAGGAGAGGGAAATTTTCCCATCAAGTCGGGAGTTCCAATACCAAAAAGTGAAGTCGTACCGAACTTCCCGATTGGACGTCAATGAGCCTCTCTTCTTCCAAATGGTGACGTTGAAGCGCCACTGCCTGCACTGAATTGAATTGAATTGAATTGAATTGAATTTATGCCTTATTTTCCGTGGCGAGTCTCAGGCCATGAGGCTCGCTCTTCCGTCTGACCACGTAATTTTTACTACCCTCATTTCACCCACGAGTGAAGAAAGGAGGTATTTCAATTTGAACTTAGCTCAAAGGCGTCATTTAGGCTTGAGGATCTTTTATATGCAGTAAATCTACTAACATGGGACAGCCGGCTTTACTTCCCCTCCGAAGGTAGGCGTACGAAGGATTTGTTCGCCCTTAAGGCCGCTTGCCCACGCCGCCACAGAAGCGCGCAAACGTCAATCATCAGGGCTCTTCACCGACCCTCCGGCGACGACGGACAAAGGGATTGCAGCAGGTACCTGCTTCGGTCCCTTTTTCCGTCGTCGGCGTAGAGCCGTGATGATTGACGTTTACGCGATTCTGTGGCGGCGTGGGCAAGCGGCCTAAAAGTGCACGGCTTGGGTCGGTTTGGATCCCGCCGACCTGCACTAACCTCGAGCAGCGCGTTGAGCGCGCCCGCGTGGCCGGCCATCGCCGCCAGGTGCAGCGGCGTGACGCCCATGTGGTGGGGGGCGTTGGGCTCGGCGCCGGCGGCCAGCAGCGCTTGCACCTCGTCCGTCTGCCCCTGCGCCGCCGCCCGCCGCAGCGCGTGCACCTCGTCCGTCTGCCCCTGCGCCGCCGCCCGCCGCAGCGCCCCGCCCTCCTCCTCAGGACCTTGGCCCTCTCCGTCGCTCCCTGCGCAAAGACGGGCGTTGCACGAGCCGACGAGAAGGGCGATTAATGCGACAGCTGCTTGATGGCGATCAAGATCTCGATGGTGAGCGTGGAGGTGGTCATCATGACGTCCATGGTGCATTTTAGCTTAATCGCGACGTTGATTAGATCATGACTGTACCCCGCTCACGTTCGAGGAGCTTATAGCGGCGATGAGTGCGATTTTTGGAATGATTAGTGGTGGTTTGATCCTAATGAGACTCGTCGCAATAGTGATTGTCTTGGCAATGTTGATTATTTGACTCGTGAAATAACATTGAAGAAATTGATTTTATTTTGATAAATTAGTAACGGATTTTGGTCGTGGTTCTAATGAGACTAATGATTAAAACGAATAAAATCGTATGAGCCGAGCTCAGTGTAGCGTGCGACATTTTAGAAAATACGTAACATGACATATTGGAGCAGAACCTGCTTAACTTCGCCTGCCAAAGCGTCTGGATCCGGCCGCTTACCTTGCGTGGCCGCGGGCGGGGCCGGGGGCGGGGCCGGGGGCGGGGCCGCGGGCGCGTCGGACCTCTCCAGGCGCTCGAGGAGCTTTTCCACGCGCGGGAAGGACGAGGCCAGCGCCTTGGACAGCGACCGCTCCAGCGTCTGCGCACGGCCCCCGCGGCGACATGTTTAAGGTTAAAAGTACTTAAAAATGTAGTGAAATGTGAGGCTACAGTGCCACCGTCGGGCCCCGGGCGACCTTGCCCTGTCCAGTGCGCCCACCCACCTGCAGGCGGTCCTCCACCGCCGCCTCCGCCCGCTCGCGCTGCGCCAGGCGGCGCTGCAGCTCCGCCAGCCCCTCCAGCCCGCCGTCCACGCGCCGCGCCAGCGCCCCGAGCCTCTCCTCGCAGTCGCGGGCCGCCCTATCCGCTGCCCGCTGCGCCGCGCTGCTCGCGCTCTCCGCCTCGGCCAGCTTTCCGTGCAGCCTCGCCTCCGCCTGCGACAGTGGCCAATCTCCTCGCCGCTGCTCTCGAGAGACTGACATTCACAGCGCTATCTGAGAGAACACGATCATGCCAACTATTTGGTGTTTGGTTGAAGATTTTAAAGCGTTTATCTAGCCATATCCTGCCAAACTCTTTTTAAAAAAATATGTTTGTATATACATGTATACATATACATAATTTAACACGTTTATTTTAAGTTTTACTCACACTTTATTTTGCATTAAAAATGTTTTAGTCTGGCACTGCTACAGTGCGTACTGCTCTTACAATAATTTGACACGGGCGCCAATGATCTTAGATGTTCAAGCGCCCATAAACATTAATCATCATCATCACAATCAAAAAATTGATTGTAACGATATTAAAATATAAGTTTTTACCAGTTTTATGAAGTAGTAGTAAAGAACAACTGTAGAGCATAAATGCAACCCGGGCTGAGTGGCAAAATGTGAAAATTTGCATTTTGTGCTGAAACTCGTTGTGTCAAGCGCAATGCGGTGTCAAATGGGCTCTCTGAAATTCTCATTCTTAGTTGTTCAAAGTGTCGCCAATAGACTGCGCATCAGTCAAGTTCCGCGAGCTTTTGAAACAGTTTTTTTTTTTAATTATCTCGGAATTCCATTTTTAGCACTTAGCGCGGTTTTTACGTACTGTCCACAATAGAGGGATGAAGCGTCGATGACTAAGGTTGCAAGTTTTGTTTAAAGAGACTAAATCTTGTTTGCTACAGAATGGACGCCTGAATGTAGTAACCCGGAAATATTCACGTGACTTTCTGTTATTAAAACTCAATTACAAGCAACGTCAGGGTATTGGAAGTTTGCCGAAATCTTAGAAAAGGCAAATGAATCGGTGTTTCTATGTTAAGGAACAAGATATTCGCGGAAATGGAGAAGGTGACATTTGCCGATTGATTCTGGATACATGAATCCACGAACAATGTTTTTGCTTCGAGTTTGACTTTAAGTGTTATTATTTAAATTACCTCAAGAGAGAGACCAACGGACAGCGACGTTTGGTGAGTGGCAATACAGCTGCAGCTAAATTAATCGGGATTACCAACGACCATTTACGAGTGCATAAGCTCTTGTGGGAACATTGCGTTTAGTAAATTCGATGGTTCTATGAAAACATCGATTTTTAACTTGTAAAAAATCTAGCAGAAAATTTATGTTTTCTGCTAGATTTATGTTTACAGAAAAATTCCTGTCATCTTTTTAAAATAATAAAAATTCCGTAAGTGGTGGCATCATTACCTGCTTGTGTTGGAGCCAAACAAACGCGGTTTGTACTTCATCGACCACATTCTCCCTCCCCGAGAGGATCCTGATGCCCTGCTACTTGCTTCGTCCGTCCACGTATTACGCTCATAGAAAGGCCTGTTTAAACTTCCGTTTAACTTAAATATTAATTATAAATTAACAAACACGGCCACAGTCAAATTAAATTTTGTTGCACACTAATTTAATGTTATTGGTTACTAAACCAGCTTTAAAATATCGATGTTTTAAACATAAATGGTTTTTTGTCAATGTATTATTGACATCGAAATTTTAATTTTGAAAATTGATGTTCTACAAAATGTGATGTGCATGCTAAAATGCCATAGGTGAGCTATTGCGCAGCCTGTCCAGCTTCAGCCATTGAGCTTCAGGCATCCTTTTGCGTCACAGTATTAGCGGGAATTTTAAATGCAGCCAGACACCCAAAATATCACCTCGTTACAAGTCACTGAAATAGATATATAATTTTTTTTAAATACTGCATCTTTTATTTAAACCACACCTCATAATATTTTTGGTTGGTCACCGTTGAAAATTGTCCCTGTATGTCCGTTTCAAAATGTTTCTCAGCACTTGTCGCTCGCCATGCAGCATGGCGGCCAGTGACTCGTCTTGCATTTCAAACGAAAGCTTTGTGTGGTCATGTGGTTCGTGACGTATCTGATGCTGTGCAGAACGAGCAAAAGTCAAAGCGCCGGTCTTGCTCACACATGACCCTTGACCTTTCGTAATTAATAAACCAGATCGGTATTTAAAAAACATTTTAATCGCCTTTTTTTAATCGTGGAAAACCGCCGTAAAATTGTATTATTTTTGTTTTCGGGGGTTGTTATGAAACCCAGACTTGACACGTTTCTCTATGAAAGTGGACGCGCTGAATTCGAATCTGAAGCCAGAATTGCGCCTCCGCCCGGGCCACCTGCAAGAACTTGCGATGTCAGATGGATTGGGGCATATCTATTTGGGAGAAAATCGGCTGAACGGTTTAGCCACTAGCGTGTTTAACGAAGGGACAGACCTACAGGCCTATGTTTTGACGTCATTCTATTTTTCGGTATCAAGGACCCATAAAACATGGATTCTGGCTACACCACGCGATAGAGAATTTTTTTTCTCGCATTTTTTCGCGCAGCATTACATATCTCTACTCAGCAGCGAGAAAGTAAAACAATGTACGGTTGTGTTATGAACATGTGTACCTGTGCGGTTTGGAGCTCGGCCGCGCGCAGCGCCCCCTGCAGCCGGGCCTCCCAGCGCTCGTCCGCGAGGTGGGCGGCGGCCTCGAGTTGGCGCCGGAGCTCCGCCAGGTCGCGCGCGTGGCGCTCCTCGGCCTCTCGGAGCGCGGCGGCCACGTGGTGCTGCGCGCGCTCCGCCACCACCGCCTCCAGCGCTCGCAGCGCCTCGCGCATCGCGTCCGAGCCCGGCTCCGCCGCCGCCGCCGCCGCCGCCGCCGCCGTCGCCGACGCCTGCGAACTCGACGACCCGCCCATCGCTCCTGCAACACACACACACACACACACCAACAATCACAACCACCACAACAACAACAATAATAATAACAATAATAATGTAGTAAATATTTACGATCAAAGACCTTCAGCTACTCGTCCAGCCAACATCCGCGCAATCGAGATAGCCAAACGCTATAACATCGTCCTACCACCAGTTTTGAAACACGAACCATATGAAATTCCAGTTTGGATGTTGAAAATGCCTGAAATAAGACTCGATACTACCAGTGTAAAGAAAACAGAATGCCTCCCCATAGATTTAAAAGTCAGATTTCAATCAGTTCTCGAAGAATACATGGCAAATCATATCATAATCTACACAGATGGTTCAGAAACAAAACATCAGGTCGGAAGCGCATTTGTAACTGAGAACTTGTCGAGGGCTTGGGCGATTCCACGTGAAGCAAGTGTGTACACTGCCGAATTATATGCAGTATTGCAGTCTTTGCGACACTATGAAACTCTCGATTCAGGAAGGTTCGTCATCTGCACAGACTCTCTAAGTCTTCTCACTGCAATAGACAGGCGCCAGACTGTAGATCCACTGCTACAAATGATTCTCATAGCACGCCATAAATTAGAGCAGCGAGGAGCATCAGTTACGTTCATCTGGTGCCCTGGACACGCGGGTATCCTAGGCAATGAAGAAGCCGATTCTGCAACACGAAATGCCGGGAACATCCAATCAGAAATGGATATCGAAATACGACCTCAAGATGCAAGAAATGCTGCCTCGAAGTGCA